TTTTTCTAAGATCTAAAAGTTAATCTCGGTGTAGTTTTCTCTTGCATGTAATTTTTAGATTGAAAAGACAGGGTTACAAATATTTACTGTAACAAAGACTTCACTCTATATTGCAATACAGGAAATGTCTACAACCAAACGCTTCATTTTGTAACATGTATTTAGAAATCCTAGCATGCAAAGTACTGAAGTAATCTGGCAGATTTTCAGCGCAGACGTGCTTCACATGAAGGCCACTGAAGCTTCAGCGTATGGGCTAAATCATGGAAGAGGCTGCCGAGACTAACCTGCACAACATCATTCAAAGGCGCTTCCGAGAGCTGGGGAGGGTGTGAGGAACATCAGCGACTAATTGCTCGCTCATACGTGCCAGGGAAATTTTCCTCGCTTTTGTAAAAAAAAGAAAAAAAAAAAATTTTTTTGACCTTGATGAATTATGTGCTTTTATTGACGGCACTTATTGATATTTCTTAAAAGCGAATGCTAATGGAGTGGTGTTGAGACGATTAAATGGGTTGCTGGTGTCCAGATTAGCCAGGTCGCATCTCACAGGCACAGGCGTGCATTATCATACAGAACAGACGCGTGCGTTCGTGTGTGTGTGTGTGTGTGTGTTGAGTCTCAAATTGCTGCGAATGGCATCTCCAGGGGAACAGAAGAGCGATGACTACATTCGACCTACATTCACCCCATCCTGGCATGCTCACTTTCAAATAATTACACACTAACATGCACACTCAGTCTGGCAATTGTTGGAGTAATATCAATGTAAAGCTGCAAGGAGAATGCTAATACAACACAAGCAATGCACTATAATGCATTATTATGCTCTACTGTTTTAACAACTCTGAGCATGAGAAAGGCATGATGTCACAAACATTTGCAGCTGTACCAGCTCTAAGTAATTTCCAGATGATTGGGAGGGGAGGATATCTTCAGGTTTGGATGAAAATCTTTAGAGCCAAAGAGAAAAAGAGACTCTAGGAACAAACTTATGGCAGCTGAAGCCCATTCAGCAGATTTCATTCAAATATCTGTGCAGAGAAGAGCAATGCACATTTCAGACACGCACATGGTTTCACTTGATTGATTTCTCAGAATAACTGAAAGGGAAAGCACGCTATTAACAAGAATTAAGAAGAAAAAAAAATGGTGACGCAGGCTGCAGCCTTATGAGCACACCTCCAAACTGCTCTTTCAGTTTCCTGAGCTGTACAGCATCCTGGTTAGAGTGATGTGGTTTTTCACACTTAATGTGCGGGGTATTTCTACATTTGCAACCCACATGTAGGCTAGAATCTGACGATCTGAGCGAGCTATCACTAAACTAGAAAGCACTGGAGTAGCGTCAAGCTCCACCGCCACTGACTAATTTTGTGACTTACACTTTTGCAAAAGACCTCATTCCAATTACGTCAGTTCTTTCTGATGTATATATACACCCGACTGCGCAAAGAATACCTCCTCCTTTCAGCATTACACATATGTGGGTGAGAATGCAATGGTAGACCCCCTAAAGTTTACCAATCTAACAGAAGCTTTCTTTTTTTTTTTTTTTTTTGCTACTACAACAGAGTGAATATTAAACCCAAAACATCACAAAGTCAATTTTAAAGACTCTAAACACAAATGATAAAGCAGTGTTAATGTTGTGAGAATTAAAGTGCTTAGAAAAAGATAAAATTTTACTAATTCCATGTCGGAATTTCCCGGCTTTCATGAAATGTAAATAAAAGATGACCCAAAGTAATACCACATTGTCGGAGCTGTATGGCACGTCATAGCTCAGCAGCAATTAGCAAAAAGAACGAAGAGCAGGACAGAAATGGTGGAGATTCTTGTTACAAAGTCCACTATGTTTTTAACAGCTGCATAGAGCCAGATCATCTACTCTGATGACTGTGTTTATGTTTCCTTCTGAGAATAAATGTTATCATGATTTCTTTCACTGCCAGCATGGCTGCTGTTGTCTGTATTCGAGAGGGAGGAACTGCCTTTCAACCAGACAATTTAGCCTCCAACATTAAGTTACTGCCACAAAGATGACGAGCACCGTTAACTCTGACCCAAACCAGATTTTGGTTCTCCTCAATGAGGTTCCTTCACATACCATGGATTTACACATTTCTATTCCAGTATCTCACCTTTGATTTTGATTTAATCATGTTGCAATATTATATTTAATCTATGTGGTTTTCACTTTGTTTGTACGCCTATTTGTTTGTAAACTAAACATTTAGAATATTTACCACAACATCACATTACTGGAGGTTCACTATTTAGTAAAAAAAGGAAATGATGGAGCCATGAAAGTGAAAAGAAAGGTAAAAAAAAAAAATCCACGATCACGTTTAAAAAAGACCAAATTAATATTAGAGGCCAAGTGGATTACGGACGGACTACAATTTGAAATATTATTAAAGTTAGAGAGGACTGTCATTTATTTGCAGGAGAATCATCTAAATAAGTGGTCCTTCTAATTGTCAATCATTCTAGTGATATGTTTACCTTAGGCTATCCTACGTGCATGCGCACTTTCAGCCGTATATGTATGGTGAGCGACGGTATCAGACAGTCATTAAAGCTCACCTTTCTCACCGCGTTTTTTGGAAAATGGCGAGGGTCGTAATAGAAAAAGTTCCTATGAAGTATATGAGAAGAGAAGAAAAGAAAGGCCTCAGAAGAGGCAGATGTATCCCAGAATGATTTGCGTGGAGAGCTCTCCTCACAAAGCATTATGGGATTTGCTGTCACAGCAGCCTGCTGTTGCCATAGGTTGTCGCTACCTGACAGCGGCAACTAATAACCAAGAGAACAGCAACTTTTAAACAGAGCGTGGACAAGGAGAAATGGGCTCCTGCATGCACTCGTACATGTTTAATAGGCGCTTCCTCTCGGGAGCAGGTACAGGGCTGTGTGTGCATTTTTTTTTTTTAGGGCGGGTCTTTTCAAAAATTCGCAAAATCCTCAACTATAACTTTTATGCTGAAGATAAAGCTTCTGAAGTTCCTTAGTTGATGGATGATAGATTAAGAACTGCAAACAGATGACTGTGTACAAAAGGGCTTATGTCTTCTGATCACGGCTGGTGCCAAAAATAAAAACTTTTCAGGCTAAAAATGTACTAGGTAAACAACATCAGCATCAGTCATCATAACATTAGTCAACATCAGACATCAGTCCAATAATCACCTAAAAGCTTATATTGTGATCCAAAAGCCTGCTAAAATCGCTGATATTGGCATTCTGATGAAAGCGCTGTGTTTTAATTTAAAGTTTCTGTAGCTCTGTGGTTGTTTCATATCATATAAATCAATTGCTTGCATACCTATTATTATTAATATTGTTCTCAGTTTTAAAAATATCTTTTAAACAAAGGTTTTCCAACATATTATAGTACAAAATAAGTGATGAAAGGTTTCATGATTCGTCATTCATGAGTCATGCTAAGATTATATCGGGTCAATATCTGTATCGGTAAATTCTTAAAGCCGCAAATATCTTTTATAATACCAGAAGTGGAAAAAGTTGCATTGAGACATACAGAACCTTTAAGATCTGAACAGCTGGTTCTGATTTTCTCCAGCGCACTTTAACTTCTCATATGCAATATTTAACATGTCCTGAAGAATACTTATAAGCTTATTAATCAACAATGAATTGGTCATCTGCATAAAACCCATCTGAGTTCAAACAATTCTTACTAACAGTAAGAAAGAGAGTAAAGGAAACACGGTTCAGAGAGCAAAGTGTCACGGCCAGCAGCAGAGCTTTGGATACCCACTGAGGCTGAAATATTTAATGCATAATGTTGTTGATCAGTGTCAGTAAACACAATATTTTAAAGACCTAATCACTTGTGGGCTTGACTATCAAGTTGTGATCTGGATAAAACGTAAAGATTTGGTTTGGAAGTTTGAAAACTGGGTGTCAAATGCTTTGCACCAGGCTCTGTTGACCAACAACAGTTTCTTAAAAGGGAGCGTCAACAGGCCAAGGTACACAGGAAATAATTTAGGACTAAATATAACAAACCACTGCACACAAAGGTAGGTGGTACACAAAGCACAAAGCTCAAATCAGTGTTTGGTAGAAATAGCTTTAACTCAAATCAAGACAATAGATATGGCGCCAGTTAACTGACAACTAAATAAGTAATGATGAAGGCAAAAGAGGAAACAACGGCAGTGAAATGAAACAATTAATTTCCTTACAACACGCATTTTCACAAAAGCTAAAATCAATCCATCTATAACAACACATGCTTTCTCCTCTCAGCCTAACCTACACACACACACACAGGTCCACAGAGCGGATCTTGTCGCCCAAGGAAATGGGCTTCATACATCTTGTCTGACTGCAATAAAGCAGTGCCTAAGATTCTATTTCCAATAAACGTCGACTGATTGGAAAACTCATTCTAATATCAATTTCCATCTGGGCCCTTTAAAAGGCAATCAGCATAGCTTCATCTCGGTATATCATGGGCTCCTTGAGATGATGACACAGCACTGGCTTTCTCCTGTATAATGGCCTTCTCCTATCAAGGCATCTGCAATGAATAATACCACCCCTGAATGGGCTATTTAGTCTGTGTTCACACAGATAGGGGCCACTTGTCTGAATATTAATCCAGGGTTTTGCACTTCATATGGTTCTCTTAGGGATGCAGCGTTTTTCATTCAGAGTAGTAAAGCACTTAGAGTGATTTGGCACACTTTTTCCCCCTCTAAGCTTTCTAGGAGGTGACAATAGTGATTACCAGAAAAGCTGCACTTTGCTTACAATTATTTGAGTCTGAAAATACACTTTTCTATGCAATGCGGTCATCAAAATTTAAGTTCAAAAGTGAACTCATACAGGTTAAGAGAAAATCACAAAGACTTTAATTGGACCATTCAAATATAAGACCACCTTTTCACCTAAACTTATCCAATGTTTAAAAAAATGTTATAAGTGCATCAATGAGGACATTTATCTGCAGGATTCTTTGTCCTTACCTTCCAGCCACTGCCCGCCTCCCTGTAGTAAGGAAAGTTATCACAGATCCACTGGTAGATCTCGCTCAGCGTCATCTTCTTCTTTGGCGAGCTGTTGATGGCGAACGTGATGAGGCTGGCATAGCTGTACGGAGGCTTGCCATCCTTGTGCTGCTGCACCTCCTCCTGATCCAGCGTGGTGTTGTGATCCAGTAAGGTGCTTTTCTTACCCATGCTGGGCCCATGAGCATTCTGGGTGTCAGTTTTGCGGCTGGCCGCCTGCATGGTCAGCTGTGGTAGCCAGTCCATGGAGGTCAAGCTGCTCTCCAGCTCCGACGTCATGGTGACGGCAGGCTGGGCAGGAGGGAGTGGGGGTGGGGGGATGGGGGGGAGAAGAAAAAAGGCTGGAGGAGGTGGTTACTGTTGGTGTGTGGTGACTGGTTCAAAGCGGCCCAAGTGTGAACCGATAGGGGAGAGAGGGGATGAAATCAGGACTCGTCCAGCTCAGGTCGTCAGCATAGCGTCTCCTGTGCGCCCCCTGGAGAAACAGGAGAGAGACAACTTTATTAGTTGAGGTTTTGATTGAAGGATTACATTAAATCTCAGAATAAAACACCTTTTTAAATGTAGTGCAGGACGCCCCCCCCCAAAAAAAAAAAAAAAATTAAGCCGCTTTGCCACTTCAATATCATCCAACTCTCTTCATAAAGTATCTTTATATTTTGCACGCTAGAGATCACAAGCCCACAACTTTCTCCACCACTCGCTGCTCTCAATGCTGACTCATAGCTGGGACTCCATCTGCACGGAGAGAGTAAATGCCAAGCAATTGTTTTCTCAACTGCCAGCCAAATGGGGAAATGGCTCTGGAGGAATTCCGACTCTCTCGAGGGTAGTAAACCCCTTCTACATTTTTATCCCTGCTGCTCGCTCGCTGCCTGCCTGCCTGCGTGTCTGCCTCCTCCAAACGGAGCTTCTGCGTAAACAAGCCAACTAGAGCTCTCTTGCAAACTGTCCTCTACGTGTGTTTGTTAGCCATGTTGTGCAGAAGACAGCCAGTGACAACCTGTCTCACTGTCCCTCTCAGCTCACTGCTAGGCTGCTCCCAAAATAGATGATCCATGTAGAGAGGCTAAAAGTTATGAACGCGGGAATCAAAGGATACAAAGAAAAAGGAAAAATCTGGGCGGATGACACTGCCGTCTGTCTGAAAGGGGGTTGGAGGGAACATTCTAGAGACGGAGGAATCCCCACTATGCTCTGGGATTTTTTTTTTTGTCTCACTTGACTAAACATGCTCACAAGTGCCTGTTTGTTAGTGTCAGCTTCAGCATATTCAAGTGCAGCACTTGGCTGTGAATAGCAAGGGTCTTGATACCAGATCACTGGTCAAATCCTGAATGTTTCAGTTGTTTTGTGCAGCATGCATGTCTACCCAAATATTCTAAGATTTACTTAGTATGATCTTAAAAAAATCTGTAAAAGCAAAACTTTGTTGTTTCAAGTAAAGCTGAAAATAAACTAAAATAACAATATATAAAAAATTCAATAAAAAAAAATCTAATAAATAAAATCAGCTATGAAAGACAGGAAGCTCAGTGTAAACCAAAGAGAAGAGGAGAGGGTGGTTTCTAAGTGCATCTTGAAGTGGCTGCAGTGTTATGTTATGTTAGCCTGGTAACGGCTCAGACGACGGCCTCACGTGCAGCGCTGGCAGGTAACACAGGTGAACTATTCTGGATGATGACGTGAACAAAGGCTTTCAGCTAACAGTTTATTATTCAGGGCTTACAGGAGATCATTCTAAGCAACTTGTCCAGCTTTGTTCCAGCTGTTTTTAGAAAGCATGACGATCCCAAACATTACTCTTGCAGCTCTGGCTGTATTTTGAGCCTGCCTGTATAATTTGAACGGTAGGTAGAAGAGGTGTTTAATTTCCCTTCTTACAGGTATTTATATCTTAGGGGAATTTGCATATAACCAAAGCTTCCCTCTGTCATATATGGAAACTTCCATATTTCCAGCCTTCATTTTCTCTCTGGTTACACTGTTCTCATTCACTCCATGCCCTCCTTTAGTTTGGTAAAACTGTTGCACTATAAACATTTTTGGATCATTGAAAAAGTAAAGCAGAGCCACAGAGTCTAAATAACTAGGGGGCTTAGTTACATTGCAAATCATTAAAAACTGCAAAAACATAAAACCAGCAATCAAAGGGGGAAGAAAATAAGATTTCTAGCCTTAAAACATTATTTTCAGCTCTAGATTTTTCTATGCTATAAACCCCAACGTACAATAAAATCAAATAAATTACATTCATTCTGCAAATTTTTTGTAACTAATTAGCACTACTTTTTTCAAACACTAGGCATTGTCTATGGCATGTAGGAAATAATGAATATAAATTATCATGATGGTTTACATTTATTACATATTCCATTTTTCTCTCTTTGGACAAAAATCTACCCTTTAAACTAGTCTAGAAATGAAATAAATAGAAAACCTTCCTTCTTGTTAAAAATCTGATCAAATTTAGCTGTGATCATAAGGGGAAAATATATTTTTTTCCCTGTTAATGATCTCCAGCTGTCTGATCGGGTATTTCCTGTCTTTGAATTTTGTCCAGCTTTGCAAAAAAATAAAAAATAAAAATTAGGCCTTCATCATATACTTTGCTATTCCGCACTAACAGAGGACCACGGATTGGTTGCAGCGCCCTTGGAACCCCCCGCTGAGAGACATCAGATAAAAAGCATTAACATAAACCGTTCATGTTCTGATGTTGCCACAGGAGTTTATCCAATTTGGAAGTTCTTTATCCTTCCTGTTACACAAAATTTCTTCAAGACCCTGCCAACTTTTTCTGAATAAATAATCGTTTTCTCCTACATTTTGCATTTGTTCCAGTTCAATACTGTATGATTATGATTGTTAAAGTTACTAAATACAAGATAATGTTGGAGAAAAACAAGGTTTAGTTATTTTAGCTACACTATAAATATGTAATAATTGCAGGCTATGATGGCAATAAAAATATGCTGCTGCAGAGGGAGAGAAAAATATGGAATGATTGCATCATTCCTTATTTTTCTCTCCATTGGCTCATAAGATGCATCATTTTCAATATTGTTATTTAAATGTGCAGTTTTATTTTACAAATTTAAAATGATGAGATGCCATGGAAACCATTTTCCTACTATGAAAATTTATTTAGTAAACATCATTCCAAGAAGTTTGGTTCTTACATTTCAGACAATGTATTTACCATTTAGTATTTTATCATTTAGATCTATAAACTAAAAATTGCACATGCATTCATGCAGTGCCAATGCGTTCATCTATGATTCTTTATACTGCTTTTTTTTTTTTACGGTGATAAAATACTATAATTGTAAAATATATTCCTGATCACCTGATCAGTATGAATGAAAGGATCAAGAAAGCAGCAAACTAGACTTTCTGGACCCCGCAGTAGGTGATGAGATTAGCACAAGGATTGATGAAAAGGTCCAATTCATGGACCCACATGCCATTGGGTCCTTCATGCTAATGATCCAGCTGCTACATAATCCATGGGGCCAACATGCCGCCTTCATTAGAGAACCTTGGGCGGATAGCAGTAATGATAAGGCGTGACACGAGTAGGCAGTTGGAAGGCCCCCCTGCTGCCTTCATTACTCAGACTGGGGTACAGTCAGAGATGGAACAGGCACAGGCCTGCTGCTACATCAGGAGGGACGGTCCAAGAATGTTCACCAGTGGGTTTGTGGGTGGCCACAGTAGCGCTTGGAAGGCAGGTCGAAAGATAATTAAAGATAGAAGTGACAGATCACTACAAGTGCTGCAAGGGTGTGTGGGTTTAGCAAAAATCTGAGCAGGCAGAGAGCAGAAAGAGGTTTGTATCCAAGTTCCTGAGGGGAGACCATGAGCCCATGGGAACAGACACTGAACCACAGACCAGACCATATTGATCTGGCTTCAGGAGAATGGGTTGCATCACAGCAATTATAAGGAGAAATCTTTTTTAATCTCCAATTAGTTTTCAGGAAGGAGCTGTGAAATATACTGAAAGTAGGGGAGGGGGAAATGGTAATCCTAAGGGGCTTGATGGTAGATTTAGCTCCAAGTAACAACCTAACTTTTAAAAATTCTTCACTGTTCAAGTTGTTGACGGAACTCAAAAACTCAGCGGCCAAAAAAAAAAAAAAAAACCCTGACCGCAAATGGGTTCTAGCCTGAAAGTGGTTCGGTCAGAGCATAGCTGCTTCACCTGTGTCAGATCATGTCAGTAAAGACTCCTCCATGAAGCAATAAGATGAGCAACAACCAGGGATTACTCAACTAAACACAGCACATTACATCAACCTGACCATGTTAAGCAAGGATGTCCGGGGAAGCGAGTCAGCAACTGCGTCATAAAAATCAGTGCTGCTCCCCCCCTCAGCTATTGCAAAATTGATGTGTCTACTTAGCATGTACTTAAAATTTTAGTACCCATAACAACACACAGCCGCAGCTGAGATGAATATTTCAACTGAAGAGCTGCAACAGTGACTGGCACATTGTGTGAGGACAAACCCAAAAACTATTTCAGACAGAGCAGAGTATGGGTTAAAGTCTGTATTCCTGCATTTTGCAACATTTGCATGTCATAAAGTGAAATAATAGCACCACCCAAATATTTTCCACACAATAAAACTATCATTGTTTAAGAAAAAAACAACGTCAGCAAAAATAATCCTCCATCATTGCTTTTGATTTTGAGAGGTTATAATTCATAACAATTTCTGTGACCAACAAGCATCAATAACAAACCATATTTTATGAAGAACAACCTCCAAATTATAAGATGGCACACGCAGAGCACGCTTCATTATCATCAGATACAACTTTTGTGGTAAAAGGCGAACCTTTGACAAAAAAAAAAAACGGGAACTACTTAATTAAGCAAAAGTAAAGGAGTCCCACTAAAAGGGAAGTACGTCAATGAAATTGGTTTTACTGAAACAGAGATAATTTCCTTGTTTGAAACCACATTCTAAAGTTTCTAATCAGTTTGAGTAGACAATATATAGAAGTATTGGTACAACTGTTCACTAATGAGACACATAGTTGTGAATAACAGTGGCCTTGCCAAAAATATCAGCCTTCAATGGTGGTTTTATTCTGCACAAATAAACAGTGCATCAGTTAAAAGACGTTTAACAAATTAGATTGTTGGTTCAACTGAGTCACTTCCACTTCTCTGTAAAATAAATACATTACACAGATGTAGTCCACGGTTACTCTTCTTTTGAAAAGTAAAGATTCAATAATTCTCATCTTTTTGCTAAGAAAGTTAGCCGATCCCCTGGTGATTGCAGCCTTTCTAGTATAAAGCAGTGAAGAAAGTTAAAGTTGCAGTAAATAATCAGTTTGTGGTTATAGTCTGAAAGTTTTCTTTGTTTAGCTCTGATCAGTTATCACCTGCTCAAAATCTTTTTTTTTTTTTTTTTAACTCCTGTTCCTCCTTCACTACTTTTTTTTGCTAGGTTAAACTACCTAAGGACAAAAAAAATCTTAAATTGCTGT